ATACACATAATCACAGGTTCTGGTGATGGGTGGTGGTGGTGTGTAGTGATGTTTGGTGGTGGTAGGTGGTAGGTGGTGGTGGTGGTGAAGGGTAGTGGGGGTGACATGTAGGGTGGTGATTACAGTGGGTGGCAGGTGGCGGTGGCGAGTGATGGTGATGGGTGGTAGAGACGGGTGAAGGTGATAGGTGGTGGTGGTGGTGGGCGGGTGGGTGGGTGACAGTTGGTGGTGAGGTTGGTGATGGTGTATGGTGGTTTTAGTGGGTGATGGGTGGGGTGGTGGTGAAGGTGGGTGGTTGTCGGTGGTCGGTGGTTTTGGTGGGTGGTAGGTGGAAGTGATGGTGGCGGGTGGTGGTGATAGGTGGTGGTAGTCAGTGGTGATGGGTGGTGGTTGTGAGAAGTGGTGGAGGTGGGTGGTGGTGATGGGTGGTGGGTGGTGGTTGTTGGTAATGGCGGGTGGTAGTGGTGGTCGCTGGTGATAGGTGATGGTGATGGGAGGTGGTGGAGGTGAGTGGTGGTGATGGGTGGTGGATGCGGGTGGTGGTGATAGGTGGTGGTGGTCGGTGGTGGTGATAGGTGGTGGTGGTCGGTGGTGATGGATGGTGGTGGTGGAAGGAGGTGGTGGTGATGGATGGTGGAGGCGGGTGGTGGTGATAGGTGGTGGGTGGTGGTTGGTGGTAATGACAGATGGTGGTCATTATGGTGGATAGTGGGTGGGTGGTAGTGATGGTGGTGGAGGTTGGTGGGTGGTGGTTTTGGTGGGTAGTAGGTGGGGGTGATGGGGGCAGGTGGTGGTGACCGGTGGTAGTGACGGGTGGTGGTGGTCGATGGTGATGGATGGTGGTGGTGGGTAATGGTGATGGGTGGTGATGGTGGTGGCGGGTGTTGGTTTTGGTGGGTGGTGGTTGGAGGTGGTGGTGACGAATGGTGGTGGTGGGTGGTGATGGGTGGTGATAGGTGGTTATGGTGGTAGGTGGTGGTGGATAGTGGTGGTTGGTGGTGATGGGTGATTGAGGTGGGTGGGAAGGTGGTGATGGGTGGTGGTTTTTGTGGGTGATGGGTGGGGGTGGTGGTAGTGGGTGGTGGGTGGGGGTGGTGGTAGTGGGTGGTGGGTGGTGGTGGCTGGTAGTGATGAGTGGTGGTGCATGGTGGTGGTGGGTGTGGTGGTAGTGGCGGGTGGTGGTGATGGGTGGTGTTGGTGATGGTGGGTGGTAATGGTGGTGGCGGGTGGTGGTGGGTGGTAATGGTGGTGGGTAGTGGTGGCGGTGACGGGTGGTGGTGGCGGGTGGTGGTGGGTGGTAATGGTGGTGGCGGGTGCTGGTTGTGGTGGGTGGTGGTTTTGGTGGGTGGTGGTGGTGGTGATGGATGGTGGTGATGGGTGGTGGTGGTGGGTGGTGATAGGTGGAGGGTAGTGGTTGGTGGTGGCGGCGGGTGGTGGTGATGGGTGATTGAGGTGGGTGGGGGTGGTGGTATTGGGTGGTAGAGGTAGGTGGTGATGGTGGTGGCGGGTGGTGGTTTTGGTGGGTGGTGATAGGTGGTGGTGGGTGATGGTTGGTGGTGGTTGCGGGTGGTGGTGATGGGTGATTGAGGTGGGTAGGGGTGGTGGTGATTGATGGTGGAGGTAGGTGGCGATGGTTGTGGCGGGTGGTGGTTTTGGTTGGTGATGGGTAGGGTGGTGGTAGCGGGCGGTGGTGGAAGTAGGTGGTGGTGATGAGTGGTGGTGGTTGGTAGTGATGAGTGGTGGTGCATGGGGGTGGAGGTGGGTGGCGGTGGTCGTGGGTGGTAGGTAGTGGTGATGGGTGGTGACTGGTTTTGGGTAGTGGCTTTTTAATTGTTTGTAACAATTGATTGATTTTTATGAATATTATTTTATAGTTTTAATTAAAAAAATGATGTGATCCAAGTTTGTTCTCAAATGTTCTCACAATAAGAAATGTTTTCGATTGAACGCTCCCTATATATCTATCTATATCTATATCTATATATATATATATATATATCTCTATATATAGGTTATATAATATGAACCAATGAACCAATCTTTTTTTCAACTTTTAGAACTAAAAATATAGAAATTCATAACTTTTATCCTTTTTCCAATGATATCAAATTCGATTTTTTTTTACGTCAAATTCACAATGTGAATCTTTGAAAACTCACAATGTGAATCCGGATTCACACGGTGAATCCGAAAAATATTTTTCACATTCACAATGTTAATATATGAATTTAGATATTTTTAGATTTTTTTTTTCGATAAAGAATAAGCTCTAGAAATTGAAAAAAAAAGATTTGGTTCCTTGAAGAACCAATAATTATGGTTCTTTATTGAACTTTTCCATATATATATATATATATATATATATATATATATATATATATATATATATATATATATATAATTTGTACAAAATTATATTTTAGCCAACGACATATTTAATACATTAAAAAGTTATATTAATTTTTTTTCTTGTCCTCTTAGACTTAGCTAAATAATCCTCCCCTAAGTCCGTGGAGAAAAAAGTAGTGTCATATCCAATATTACTGCCAAAAATTATATTTATTTATAATAAAGAAATAGATAAATCATAAACTAAAAATGGTTGTGGGCAAACTAAGAAACAAGAAGTGGGGATGTCCTCTTTGTTAAAGAGTCTTTTCATAACATGTCTTGCTCCCTAAACCACCAAATAACTTCAACACCACATCTTGCTTTCTATTCTTATTTCCCAATTTTATAATCTATGATTGTTCCTTCAACTTGAAATACAATTTAAATAATTATTTTATTAAAGCAAAACACCAAAAACTAGAAATAAATATTATCTCAAATCATGCTTTGAGCCTTTGAGAGCTTTCAAATGTAAGTTCTAAAAATAATGAAGTAGACAATTTTCATTTATCTCGACTAAACTATCTTAGCACTTTATATACATATGTAATTGTTTCAACTTTTAACCTTAAATAATCTAAAAAATCATAATATGATCATTTTTAACAAAAACCCTTGAAGCTTATTATATACTAGATAATGGAAAGTGTTTCTTTTTCCTTAAGATTTGGACCCGAAACTTAGATCCACAAAACTTTTATGCTCTTTCACTTCTTTTCATGTGATGAAAAAGAGATAAGAGGGAATCTTGACTTGCAAATAACATTCACTTAAAAAAGTTGTAACCCTTGTTTAATGGTCACACAATCTTCAAACCCCTTTTTAGAACCCTAAAAAAATGTATAAAAAGATACATCCTATTAAATATACACAAAGATATTCAAATCAAAAACACATTGCAAGAATCATATACCCCGATTCTAATCCACCTAAACTTTTAACAAACTAGAAAAAACAACCGATATAAATCCAAATACAGATACAGATCCATCCAACACTGTCTTATAAACCGTTTTATGTGGGGTCCTAATGTAGCTAAAATGGTATGCTAATGGAGCTCCATTCTTGTTGTAACATAGTAAGATTAGCTTGATTGATGACACATAATGGGGGCTAATAGTTGGTGAATGTTTAGTGAAATTAAGGCAAACAAGCCTCATGTGAGGTCTTTAAGCATGTGATTATTCACCCAAGACCAACCATCATAGTCAACTACCCCACCATACCCCTACCCTACCACCTAAAAATCAAGTTTACTTGGACGGATGGATGGATATATACCAAGTACAAAAGTACATACACATAAAGCATGCATGCTTTACATTACTTGTACTTCGATAATCATGTATGTAGACAATCGTTGTACTCCCTATGTACATGGAGCCACATGATGAATCAATGAATTCTTATCATTCCTCTCATGATTTCACGTTAGTAATGTCATCACAAGTTGTACCTTATGCAGTAAAAATAGTACAAAAACAGTTACCAAGTCGATTTTCAAGATGTACTACGCTTTTGCACCATGTTAAAATAAATTACTAACCACCAATAGATTGGTCCAATTTCGTATAATTCTAGACCCTACATAGCTACATACATTCATGTAAAGTACTACTACTTAAGCATAAAGTACAACCCACATAAGCTTATATAAGTGTACTGATATTTAAAACGAAGAAGATGAAAGAAACGATAAAGTCACTGTACACATTTTCAACAAGATGCACTCGATATGCATGTTTAAAGCATAGGTACAAGTATTCGATGCATGAATTGACTTAAAAAGGGTATAAAGTTGGCATCTTTACATTAATGAATACCAAGAAAGTGAAATTACTAATATACCCACAAGAAAAATACAATCTTCACTAATTTATTTACAAGAAAAATGCAATCTTTAATAATTTATCTACAAGAGTAATGCAATCTTTTTATAGAATAAATATAAAGAAAGTGAAATTACTATTTTATCTAATAGACTATTTTAAAGAGTATAAAGTTCACAACTTTACAATAATAAGTACCAAGAAAGTAAAATTACTAATATACCCACAAGAAAAATTCAATCTTTACTAATTTATTTACAAGAAAAATGCAATCTTTACTAATTTATTTACAAAAAAAATGCAATCTTTACTAGATTATCTACAGAAAAATTCAATCTTTTTACAGAATAAATATAAAGAAAGTGAAATTACTATTTTATATAAATGACTATTTAAAAGGGTATAAAGTTTTTATCTACAATAATAAGTACCAAGAAAGTGAAATTACTAATTTACCCACAAGAAATATGCAATCTTTACTAACTTATCTACAAAAAAATGCAATCTTTCGACAAAATGATGCAGTGTCGATGATTTTAGCAATGAGGGTATTTTGGTAAATTTGGAGAAAAGAATGGTCTGCAAAAGGGGTTTAGAAGCTGCAAATTGACAGAGGATACAATGTACATGCACTTTAGCCTCCACAACTGACAAACTTCACATGAAGGGGCCAGACTTGAGACCCCATCCACATGGAAGTATAGATCTAACCACATCCATACCCAAACTTTTTTTAAAAAAATAATAAAATATTAAATATAAATACAAATATAAAAATGGCAGCAAATTTCCCTCTTAAATCTTGAAACTTTCCTCACATAAAATAATCCCACCAAACTTGCATATATTGCTTCAAAACCTAAACCTTTTTGCAGTCTTTTCTTTGATGAGCCAAAAAACAAAAGAGAATTCAGTTCTTAATTCTGTCTTCTATGAACAAGAAAAGCATCTTACTCATGTCCTCCTTTTGTGAAAGATAAAAAAGTGGTGGTGGTGGGTGGTGGTTGGTGGTGGTGGAAATGACTACTAAGGTTGTGTACAAAGTGAGAGAAGAAAAAAAAGAGTTTCAGAAGCAGTTTGGATGCATGAATGGACTTTTTCAGCTCTTTGATAGGCGTTACCTTCTTGGTCTACATCGTAATGGCCGGAATCAGAAAATGCTAACCCCAGGTACCAAATATTTTTACTTGACCATTTTGCCCTTGATAAAAAATATATTTTAATGTTGATTAAACATTCACTCCATAATTGGCCTTGGTAAAGTAAGGGTAGTTTTGCAGTTTTTAACCACTAATACTTTATTTTTTTCCAAATTAACCATTTTGACTTTGGTCAAAATTGTTAGTTTGGAATGATATATGTTATGATTGGAAGTAGATAAACCAAAAAATTGCCCAAAATGTAAGGGTTTTTATGTAAGTATAGTGGCAATTTAGTTAGGCATTATGAGTATTTGAATGATAAATGGTTAAATACTACAACTTTTTATATCCCAAAAGAATTATCGATTGTTTTTTTTTAGGTGAAGGTGAAAATGGCAAAAAGGAGATCAAGAATTCATCAGAGAAAGACAAGGTAAATATCAAGATTCAAGAATGAAACCAAAAAAGCTTTTTTAACATATGTGAACAAGGGCAAACATGTAAATTTTTACTTGAATTTTGAATGTAGGAGATAAATACAAAGAGGGCTGTGATTGAAAAGAACCGAGTGTCCATTGAGTCATCAAGAAACTCGTTTTCATCATCTTGTTCCTCAACCACTTTCTCCTCTTTAGATTGTAGTAAAAGGGTACATATGGAAATGCAACTTCCCTCTTTACCCACATCCCCAAAATTACGAAAAAACCAACAAGATTGTTCTTTACCAGATATTAGAGATGTGGTGAAGAACTCGATGACTAGGACAATCCGTGTGGCATCAGTCAAAGATGTAGAAAAAGAAATGAAGCACATTGATTCCCCAAGGCCTTTTGTAAAACAAAAATCGGTTGAATTTGAATATGAAAGAAAAGATAGAAATCTTGCAAGAGAAGCATCAAGATTGTCTTGTGATGAAAGGGAATCCAAGTATTCTTTGAAGTCAAGTTTGAAAGTCAAAGAGGTTCCAAGATTATCGTTAGATAGTAAGCAAATTAAAAATTCCAAGAATACCCTTGATCAAACCCAAGAGCCAGGAAGTAATAAAAGACCTTCATCGGGTGTTGTGGCTAGGTTGATGGGTTTAGAGGGTTTTCAAGATTCCAATCTTGAAATTGAAACCTTGAAGAAGACTAAAATACCCTTTTTAGATCATGAATTGGTTTCAAGATTCAAGAAAATGGAAGTGAAAAACAGGTCTTTTTCGGTTTATGGTGAGATGGAGAAAAGATTGAGTGGAATTGAGTTTAAAACATCAGGGAAGGATCTCAGAGCACTTAAGCAGATACTTGAAGGAATAAAGAACAAGGAACAACCTTTGGAGAACAAGAAAAAAGTCAAACCGGTCAATGGGACAAGACGTGAACTAGTCAAACCGGTTAAGTTGACTTTGACTAAAGTCAACCATGGTGAAAATGGGAACGATTCGTTTGGAAGGAAAAAAGTCAAAGATTTGACTCCAAGAAAAAAGAAGGTGGCTGGTGGGACACCAAGATTAGTGGCATGCTCAAACTCACCGGAAAAGTTGACCGGAGAAAGAAAAAAGTCAAAGAAAGTCTCGTCTGATTTGACCAGAATCAAAAAACAATCAAATTCCAAAAACCCTAAAACCAAAATGAAGAACAAAGAGGAATCATGTAATGAAACAAGAAATGATAAGCCAAAGGAAGATCACAAGGTTAGCAAGGTTAGTTTAGTCTTTTAACATTTACAAACATATTTGTTACTAATAACTGTAATAGATAAATAACTTACTTAACAATTAACATGCCTCATTTGTCCCTTGTTTTTTTCAGGATAATTTTGTTGAAAGATTGATAGAAGAGAAAGAGACACCAATTGTTGATCTTCCAAAACTTACAATTGAACAACCGAGTCCTGTTTCAGTTCTTGATGTTTTCTACACAGAAGACACACCTTCTCCCATAAACAAAAAAGACACTGATTTCAATGGTAAATATTAAAAACAGAGTATTTGCATAACAAAATTTAGTCTTTTTTTTTTTTAAAATGACAAATTTTCATTTGTTTGTTACTCTTTTCAGATTATGAGGCTTTAGACTTTGAGGAGAATCAAGAAACAGAATGGAATCAAGTGGAGGATTATTCTGATTTCAAATTGAATTTTTTCAACTCCACAAATGAAGAGCATGAATACATAAGTGAGATATTATTAACTTCGGGTTTTTTAAAAGATATAGAATCTGCCATCAGAATAGTTCAGATTCATCCAATGGGTAGTTTGATAAAACCTGATTTGTTCCACTTTTTGGAGAAAAAAGAACGATACACTGAGCTTACAGATGATGAATGTCATAAAAAGAATGAAAAATTAAAAAGAAAACTGATATTTGATTCTGTGAATGACATTCTTCTTAAGAAATTAGTAATTTTAGGTTCTTTTGATATGTGGAGTGGAAAAAAGAGAGGGGGGTTGTTTCTGAATGGAGAAATGTTATTGAAAGAATTGTGTTCAGAAATAGATAATCTCCAAACTACCCCTGAGAGATGTGTGTATGATGAAGATGATGAAGTGAAAAATCTTGTGAGTGTAGATGTGAATAAATCAGCAGATTGGGGTAAGTGTTGTTATGAGGTTCCAGGGGTAGTTTTGGACATAGAGCGGTTGATTTTTAAAGACTTGATTGATGAGGTTGTGAATGCTGACATGGCGCCACATAGACAATGTAGGCGATTGTTTCCTATGTAGAACTAGAAGTTGATTCATGTGCTAATGTTTATCTACTGATTATAAAATTGTAACTATTGAGTGCATATAAATTATAATAGAAAGTTAACTATATTTGTGTATACGTTTAAAAGTCAATCACATTTTGTTGTTTTAAGTTGCTATGTTCTCTTTCTCTATGGATAAATTCAAAAGAAGAAAGTTGCAAAATTTCTAATAAAATATCACAAGAAAAATCATATCATTTCATTTATAATACCATATCATAAGATAAATAAATGAAGTAGAAGAAGTAGGCAAAAAGTAAAGAATTTTAATTGAAAAGAATTATCATTGACTGGGAACTACAAACATACCTCAGAAAACCTGTTAATGTGGGAACATTCAACATTCCCCTCTAGTAGATATATGCCCTTGACTTTGATTTTGACTTTGAATTTGACTTTGACTTTGACTACTCCGGAATTAGCACGTGCTGCTAGGATTCCAAACTAGTATACAAACCCTAATCTAATGTTCCTAATTTACAACTGAATCATTTCCATTATGCTCTTCAATATCCATTGGTTGTTGTTCTTTCAGAAGTTTCTCTGTTGTTATCTTTTCTTTCTCATCATTCACAAACCAAGACACGACTTCTGCTTTTCCTTTCTCATTGTGTTGTGTGTGTGCAGTATCCAAGGGCTCTTTGGGAATGTGAAACTTCATTTGCACTGAGGGTCTATTGTTCAAAAGAACTTTTCTGCTACCTTCTTCTGTATCACAACCACTGTTTTGATTAACTGCCTGATTTGGTAGAACAATATCCAATGAAGAAACATGATTCCCCCATGAGCTGTGATTTTGTACCTCATTCTCATCTTCTTCTTTAAGTTTACTAGGAATTGAAACAAAAGAAACCTCCTTCTCCCCAGGTTGTAGAGGTACAGAAAGGAAAGGGTTGTTTGGGAATTCAGATTCATTACGTGTCAAATTTTGCTCCAATTTTGAAGATGGTTGCTCAAGGATCCTCTGTTCTTGCTCAACTCTATTAGGGATCATTCGAGTTTCTTCAGTAATGGCTGGAGGGATGCTAATATATGTGTTGGAATCAGGGAATTTAGGTAACCAAGGAGGGATGATGTCTGTTGGGGGTGTTTCTCCAGATTGCAAGAAACTTGGTGTTAACTTTCGTTCTTTGATTACTGGAAAGGAAGGAACAGAGTAAGCAAATCCTATTTCTTCAGATAAATTAACGAATTGTGAAATCTCTTTGATGATACCAGATCCTGATAAACAATGATCTCTATCGGAAGCTCCTAGAAACCCTTGTGAGAGACTCAAATCTTCCAACCCTTGAATTATATCAAACACATTACATTCTGTTCTACCAGCTAAATTAGCGTAGAAATTTGATGTCTTCCCTATCTCACGGATATATTTGCAGGCCACATCAGAGAATGTATCAAGTGCAGACTGCTGGAAACCTTGAAACCCTACACTCTCACATACTTGAGCCACTGCAATTCTCGCAATCGCCTGGGGAAATTCATCGTTTTTCCTTCTCTTCTTCAAAGCTGATTCGATATCTTTTGAACTCTCGCCACCTCCTCCATCGCTCATATTAGCAACTTCATATCACTTCATTCCAACATCTTCGACATATCAAACAAATCGAAAGAAAAAGAAAAACTCAAATGGCTGAAACTAAACGAAAAAAACCCTAATTTTAAATCTCTCGTGAATTCGATTCATTCGTTTCCAATAATCTTGAAGTTGTTCCAGTCATGTATATACACTCTCAAATCGCCGAATGTAAATCTAATGCAACAAGTATCCGAATCAAAAAAGAAATGAACTTACCGGCGGTATGCGCACAGGGCTTCAGTGATTCGATAAATTCAAAAACGGGAATTCAAACACTTAGACAAACGAATTTATGAACACTTGCTGTTTGAATTTGAAGAGCGGGGGAATTGATTTGGGTGAATCAAACATCAAAAGGGTTTTGAATAAACCTTCGAGTAAAACCCCGGATCCGTAGAAAGATGACCCGAGTTCTAGAGAGAGAAGGATCTGATGAGAGAGAAAGAGAGGTTGTCTTTGGTTTTATAGGAAGTGAATTGGGGGAGCGGGGTGGCTTAATGCAGAATGAGTAAATTACATAAACGGTCCGTGTAGAAACTCCAGTATGCAGTTCTAGAATAAAACGTTTTTTTTTCTTACACTTTTAAGTCCTGATCCAAAATTTTCACAATTTCGGTTTCAAAAAATTATTTGTCAAATTAAGTCTTCAATTTTTGAGCAGAACGTCTATTTTTTTACCTGATATTTACGGTTGTAAATGAACTGAACGTTCAACGAATCATCCATGAACTGTTCAGCAGGAAGTTCGTTTATTTAATAAATGAATGAATATAAACACACATTCTTGTTCGTTTAGTTAAACGAACAAATATGAACAATGGTCTCTGTAACATCCATAAAAATTCATGAAAAATTTAAACTTTTAAAACCAACCAGAAATCATGTTTGATTACAACATAGTTTTCAAAATATGTTTAATATCAGAGTTTTCCCAAAATCATTAATCAAAACACGCGGAGGTGCACGATCACGCCTTCGCCTTCCCGCGATCATCTAAGGTTCCTGAAACATAACCCAAAACTGTAAGTCCAAAGCTTAGTGAGTTCCCCAAAGTACCAACACATATACAAAAACAGCATACTATGAGTCCAGTCAACCATCAGTTTGGAATACCCCAGGCCCCTCAACCATCGGGTTGGAATGCCAACATACTATGGGTCCAATCAACCATCGGGTAGGAATACCCCAGGCCCCTCAACCATCGGGTTAGAATGCCAACATACTATGGGTCCAATCATCCTCGGGATGGAATACCCTCGGGACCATTCAACCATCGGGTTGGTATGCCTCGGCATGTTGGCTTACGCACGAAGAAGTGAAGCCTCAGCTACCAACCAAACATGTACATATATAATAGATTTTCACATAACAGTCTACAACCAATCAAGCAGATCTAACAGATCACTACATCATAGCAAGATCCTATCTATCAGGATACCGATCAAACATATCACTACCGCATAACAACATCTTATCTACCAGGATACCGATCTAACAGATCATAACAGCACAATAGCATACATAACAGAATATCAATCCAATGGGTCAACATTGGTGCCTTCAACCCGCAAGTACAGTAAAGAAAAACTCACCTCGCAAACTGGATAGAACTGATGAGGCCCGATTCCGAATCTCAGCTCTCTACACGATACATAATTCCACCAAATGACCAATTTCCATAAGAATCCCAAAATACCCTCAAGGTCAAACTTGGTTAAAGTCAAATAGTCAAACCCACTAAACCAACCGAGTCGACCCAACCGAGTCAACTCAACAAGGGTTGGCTCATGCGAGTACACGGGGCGTAACTTAAAGGTACGCTGAGTGTACGCGAGCCTCGCATTGACCAACTTATGGGGTGGCTGACCAAGTACGCGGGGCGTACTCCCAACTACGCGGGGCGTAACTTCGTAATTCTCAAATCCTCATTAAGTGCTTAATGGCTTAAGCACTTAAGCACATACTTCAGATCCACGGTCCAAATGCACCCTAAAGTCATAAAGTCTCCAACTTTATGACTTTGCATGTCCATAAAGTCCTTAACATAATGTCTTAATCCATTAAGACCTTCTACAAGATGCATGACACACTTCTAGCAATTGGGACCTCATTTTTATGGCTTAGGACCCCTCCAAGGGTCTGAAAGGAAAGCTTAAAACAATACCAATCAACCATGCTGAAAAATGGGGCCTTTGGGACAAGAAAAGCAACATAAAGTTCCCAAAATGAGATCTAAACAAACAAGGCATCGAGGTGAAGAATTTTTACCTTCTGGAGCTTCTTAGAAAGGAAATGATCTTAGATCCACAAGCTAGCTTCCACTTCTATGCTCATTGATGCAACTCTTTCTCCCTTAACCACACCAAAGACACACTTTTGAGCTCAAACACACTCTTAAGGGAATAGGGTCTTCCAAAGACGACTCAAAAGATATGGAGGCTGAAAGGGTGGGAAGAAATGAGCCATAATGATGCTTATATACCACCCAAACCCTAAAAATTAGGGTTTTATCCTGACAAGAGTACGCCTCGCGTACATAAGTGTATGCCCAGCACACTAGGGCGCGCCCTAGTACGCTCAGCGTACCCTCGTGTACGCTTGGTGTACTCATCCTGCTCAAATTACAAAACTGCCACTGTGGCTTCAAGGCTCATCCCTCATGGACTTAAGGACCAAATTGTCATATGATAAAATTATAGGGATGAATTTAGAAGTACACGAATCTCGGGATGTTACAACTCTCCCCCACTTGAACTAGACTTCGTCCTCGAAGTCTGCTGTAGTGAACAAATCCGGATAATGCTCCCAGATCTCAGCCACCGGCTCCCAGGTCCACTCGGAGCCCCTCTAGTGCTGCCACCGTACCTTTTCCAAATGTACTTCCTTGCTACGCAACACCTTTACCTTCCTTTCCAGGATAGCCACCGGTCTCTCAACATAGTTCATGCGCCCATCGACCTAAATATCATCCAAGGACACCACTGCATCCACATCCAGTACGCACTTTCGCAGCTGCGAAACATGGAAAGTGTTGTGAATCTGACTGAGCTCCTCAGGAAGATCAAATCTATAAGCAACCTTGCCAACCTGACAATCACCCGAAATGGCCCAATATACCGAGGACCCAACTTCCCCCTCTTCATGAAGTGTATCACATCTTTCCAAGGTGAGACCTTCAGTAGAACCATGTCGCCGACCTGAAATTCCAACTCGGATCGGCGTCAGTCGGCATAGCTCTTCTGCCCACCCTGAGCAGTCTGCAATCTCTGTATGATCTGCTGAATCAGCTCTGTGTTCTGAAGGACCACTTCGGTCCGCCCCATAACCCTGTGACCAACCTCGCCTAACAAACTGGGGTACGACATCCCTGCCCATACAAGATCTCGAATGGCGGAGCACCAATGCTGGAGTGATAACTATTGTTCTAGGAGAACTCCGCAAGAGGTAGGTAGGAGTCCCAACTCCCACCGAAGTCGATAACACAGGCCCGCAACATATCCTCAAGGGTTTGTATCGTCCGCTCACTTTGGTCGTCAGTCTGCGGTTGATAAGTAATGTTGAAGTGCAACCGCGTGCCCATATCCTCATGGAACTTCTGCCAAAAACAGGAGGTGAACCGAACATCACGGTCAGAAACAATGGAGACCGGAACCCCATGGCAAGCAACGTCTCGCGAACATACAAATCGGCCAACTTCTCGGCTGAAGAACTCTCCCGAATTGCAAGAAAGTAGGTACTCTTGGTCAATCGATCCATGATGACCTAGATAGCGTCAAAACCCTTTGCCGTCTTTGACAACTTGGTGATAAAGTCCATTGAAATCTGCTCCCATTTCCACATGGGAACCTCCAGAGGCTGCAACTTGCCATGCGACCTCTGATGCTCGGCCTTGACCATCCGACAGGTCATGCATCTCTCCACATACCAGGCTATCTCTCTCTCTTCATACACAGCCACCAATAGCTCAATCTCAAATCCCGATACATCTTGGTGGCCCCTGGATGAATAGAAAAGCGATACTTATGAGCCTCCTCCAATACAATCTGTCTGACCCCACCGGACATCGGAACCCAGACCCGACCACATCGGGTCAACAACCCACGACTATCCGCAACAAACCTGACAATCTCACCCCTAATCCTCTCTTTATTCCAATTCTCTTCCCGAACACCCTCTACCTGAGCCTCCCTAATAAATCCTAAAAGCGGGGAGTCTACTGATATCCTTATACACGAAACCTTGTCTGAAGACCCAGCCGACTTGCGGCTCAAAGCATCTGCCACAACATTTGCTTTATCCGAATGGTAAAGGATCTCGCAGTCATAATCCTTGACTACGTCCAGCCACTTGCGTTGCCTCATGTTCAGGTTCGGCTAATCCATAATATGCCTCAAGCTCTTGTGATCCGTGTAGATAGTACAACGGGCCCCATAAAGATCGTGCCTCCAGATCTTGAGGGCAAAAACCACTGCCCCCAACTCCAAATCATGAGTGGGATATCGCGTCTCGTGCGCCTTCAACTGCCGCGAAGCATAAGCTATCACCTGTCCTCTCTGCATGAGGACTGCCCCCAACCCAGTGATGTATGCATCAAAGAACACCACAAAATCCTCAATTCCCTCCGGGAGGGTCAATACCGGGGCCTCGCACAATCTCTACCGAAGAGTCTCAAATGCTGACTATTGCTCAGGGCCCCAACGGAAATCCAACCCTTCCTCGTCAGACAAGTGAGGGGTACTGCTATCTTGGAGAAATCCTGAATGAATCTCCTATAGTACCCTGCTAAGCCCAAGAAACTCCTGATATTCGAGGGAGATTTCGGGACCTCCCACTGCATCACGACCTCGATCTTGGCTGGGTTGACCAATATCTCATCCTGGTTAACGAGGTGTCCAAGGAACTGAACCTCTTGTAACCAAAACTCGCACTTCGAGAACTTAGCATAAAGTCGTTCTCACCTCAAAACCCCTAGAAGC